AGGGAAAAAACAGGAAAATCGATGCACAGTAAAAGGCCCCTCGGCTGCGCAGGAAGGAGTCTAAGAAGGCCGTGTCCGTGCTGCCCGCGCTGCTGCGCTCGTCCGGCGGGGTGCTGCTGTTCGCCGTCGCCCTGGACCTGGCCGGGGTCGCGCTCATGTTCGTCGGGCCGCAGATCCTCGGCCGGCTGATCGCCTTCACGGGCGACGCGAGCGAGCCGGCGTGGCGCGGCCCGGCGTACGCGGGCGTGCTGCTCGTCACCGCCTTCCTGCAGTCCGTCCTCATGTCGCAGGACGCCCTCCGCGCCACCGTCGTGGGCATGCGGGCGCGCACCGCGCTCGTGTCCGCCATCTACCGCAAGGTGACCATCTAGGGCTGGAAACCCTGGAAAGTTTCCGGAAAATTTCCGGGAAAAAACCCGAAAAATTTCGCAGATTTTTGGAAAGTTTTCCGTGTATTTTCGGAAAGTTTTCGGAAAGTTTTCCAGAAAATTCGGAAAGTTTCCAACCCTACATATAGCTAACCAATAATTGCTAAAGTGACGGATAACTATAGGTATGTAGCTAAAATTTATCCACTAGCCAACGACGGTTTTTAGCTAGATAGCTAATTTTTTTGCTATGTGTATAGCTACATGTAGGTATGTAGCTAAATTTCACTACTGACCACTTGTCCGTCGTTCGCGGACTGCTGCTCGCTCAGGCCCTGCGCGTGTCCAGCGCGACCCGGAGGGAGCGGACGGCGGGCGAGATCGTGAACCTCGTCTCGGTGGACACGGAGCGGATGCTGGAGGCGTGCGACTACCTGCCTATGGGCTTGTCGTCGATAGTGGAGATCGTCGTGGCCCTCTTCTTCCTCTGGGACCTCCTCGGTACGCTCTGCTCTGCTGTTCGAGGGAGCAGTGAGTTTGTTGTTTGTCCCAGCTCCTCTGATGACACCCTCACCGTCTCTCTCTCTCTCTCGCTCCACAGGCGTCGCCGCGCTGGCCGGGCTCGCGTCCTTCGTCGTACTCACCCCCGTCAACGCCGCGGTCGCCAAGCTCTACTTGCGACTGGATAAGAAGCAGATGAAGAACAAGGACGCCCGGGCCAAGCTCATGAACGAGGTGAGGGAGATCAAGCCGCCGTAACCTTGCCGTCATGTGTGACCTTGTGTTTTTCTGTGTTGGCGAGGGTGGTAACGATTGGGGTTGGAAATTTCCAAAAATTTTCAGGAAATTTCCAAAATTTTCCAGAAAATTTCCGAAAAATTCCTGAAATTTTTCAAAAAAATTCCAGGGCTTCCAACCTTAGCAACGATTGTGAAGTGTATGAAAAAGACCCAATATTTTTTTTCTTTATTTTTTGAAAACAGATTTTAGCCGGCATGAAAGTGCTCAAGCTGTACGCGTGGGAGCCGGCCTTTGGGGACATGGTCGGACGCGTCCGCAAGAAGGAGGTCGCCGTCATGAGGACGTCGGCCTACCTGCAGGCCGGCGTGTCCTTCATCTTCTCGGTCGCGCCGTTCCTGGTCAGTACGACAAAATTATTGTCCCATTGTCCTCTTAGAGCGCGCGCCGTCCGCGGGAGTATGAGACACAACAGGTAGAGAAACCGCCGTCGTGAGTTATTGACGCTCGCGTATGACGGCCGCAGGTAACGCTCGTGTCCTTCGCGACCTACGTGCTGATCGACGACAACAACGTCCTGGACGCGCAGAAGGCCTTCGTGGCGCTGTCCCTGTTCGGCCTCGTCCGCTACCCGCTCGCTATGCTGCCCATGATCTTCATGATGCTGGGCCAGGCCCGCGTCTCCATCCGGCGCATCGACGAGTTCCTCAACGCCCCGGACCTGGACGAGGGCAGCGTACACCACGACGTCAAGGACGCGTCAGGCAAGACTACGGGGCAAGGGACCACCACCCATCCCGCCGTAGACGGGGCGCATGGGCGTATTTTTGGCCGTACTATTGAGAGGACTGTGATCAAAGTATCCCACCCCTTTCTTTTATTTTGTTTAAAACGACGAGAAAAAAACAGAAACCCTACCCCGTCGTCCCCTCTGCGTCACCATACCAACGTGCGATCCTGATCCCCGCAGGTGACGTCGCCCCGCCCCTGAGCGTGAAGGCCGGCACGTTCGCCTGGGGCCCCGGCGAGGAGCCCGTCCTGAGGGACGTGAGCGTGTCGGTGGCCAAGGGCCAGGTGGTGGCCGTGGTGGGCGCGGTGGGTGCGGGCAAGTCCACTCTGCTGTCGGCCATGCTCGGCGAGACGGAGGTGCAGGCTGGCCGCGTCAACTCGCTGGTGGGTATATCGTGACTAGAAACTTTTATTTTCAAAAAAATGAAAAGGTATCTTTTTTGTGAATATTTACAACTTTAAAAATGTGTTTTCCGCGCAATGTGTAGGGCTCGGTGGCGTACGTGCCGCAGCAGGCGTGGATCCTCAACGCCACGCTCAGGGACAACATCCTCTTCGGCAGGGCGTACGACGCGCGCCGCTACGCCAGGGTCGTGGAGGCGTGCGCCCTCGGCGCCGACCTGGCCATGCTGCCCGCCGGGGACCAGACGGAGATCGGCGAGAAGGTGACGTGTCCCACTGCAGAGGACGACGACGTCGTCGTCGTATCTGCGGTTTGGGGGTATAGACTCGAAGGGGTTCGGCCATGACGTGAGCTTGGTACGTCGCTCCCGCAGGGCGTCAACCTCAGCGGCGGACAGAAGCAGCGGGTGTCGCTGGCCCGGGCCGTGTACAACGACGCGGACATCTACCTCCTCGACGACCCGCTGAGCGCCGTGGACAGCCACGTGGGCAAGCACATCTTCGACCAGGTCATCGGCCCCACTGGGCTGCTCAAGCACAAAGTAGGTCATCGGTATGGAATCGAAATCGAAACGATATGAGCGGATATGAGCCAATTCCAGAACCATTTCACGATCGATTTCAACACGAAAATCAACAAATATTTTTCTGATATCGTGTCGATATCTTCTTACCGAGACGCTACTCGTGTTCGGCAGACCCGGGTGCTCGTGACGCACAGCGTCGCCCACCTGCCTAGCGTGGACGTCGTCGTCGTGCTCAAGGACGGCGCCGTGAGCGAGCAGGGCTCGTACTCGGACCTGGTGCGAAACAACGGGGCCTTCGCCGAGTTCCTGGTGCAGCACCTGCAGAAGGCCGAGCCCGGCGACGACGACTTCGACGACGAGGACCTAAAGGAGATCAAGAGCGGCCTGGAGAAGGCGTTCGGCAAGGAGGCGCTGCAGAGGCAGCTGTCGCAGGCCTCGCAGGCCTCGCAGGCCTCGCGCGTCGGCGGTGACGGGAAGAGGTCCAGGACGACGTCGCAGTGCTCCCACGAGTCCGCGAGCAGGTACGCGTCGACGGCCGCGCTGGCAGGTTTGCGCCGGCGCCATGCCGGTGTATATTGTGCGCCATCTCACTGCCGATTGCGGCGTTGTTTGTTCCGCCAGGCACGGCCTCGAGCCAAGGGCCGACGCCGCCAAGGACGTGGTCGGCCAGAGGCTGACGGAGGAGGAGGAGGTGGAGGTCGGCAACGTGAGTATAGTTCATCAGCAGCACCGCTCGGGGTACTCCTCCGCGGCACCCAGTCCATGCAAACTGATAATACGAAAGCTTTCGAGACGCACTGCGATAAAGATAAAGTGCTTCCCGCCGCAGGGACAAACGTCTACCGAAGGAAAAAACGTTATTCTTCATGCCCCTTTCACTATCATTAGCCGAGTAAAACACGAAATCTGTAAAGAAAAAAAAGTTACTCCACCCTTGGAAAAACTCCCGAGCCTCCTGCGCCACCCCGGCATCTCAACGCTCCCCTTCTTGCAGGTCAAGTCGGCGGTGTACTGGCACTACATACGCAGCATCGGCATCCCGCTCACCATCGCCACCGTCCTCATGAACGTCCTGTCTCAGGTACGCCGCGAGTGGGTGACTGACGGGGGCCTCTCCCCGTTCCGGTGAACGCGCGCACTCTACTACATGCTTCGTCATTTCCCTCCCCCACATCCAGGGCGCCATCGTCGGCGCCAGCGTGTGGGTGGAGCTGTGGACAGGTGACCCCGCCATGAGCCAGCCGAATCGCACGGACTTCAAGGACAAGCGCGACTTCTACCTGGGAGTGTACGGGGCCTTCGGAGTCGCTCAAGGTAAACTCGCGACAGGGGATGTGAGGCGAACGGAACTCTTTAACACGGCACTTTGATTCAAGCTCGCAGTTGAGAATAATTCAAGTGTGTTTTCGGAGCCATCGGCACCGGCAACCCTGCGATCGCTTGAGCGCGCGAC